TGCTGCAAGATTTCAGTCTTTCACAGTGTAGTGTGTTACCAATTGTTTCTTGGTGACTATGGTCCCAGCTGCCTTGAGATCATTGACAATATCCTCTTGTGTAGTTCTGGGCTGATTCCTCACCGTTCTCATGATCATTGCAACTCCACGTGGTGAGATCTTGCATGGAGCCCCAGGCCGAGGGAGATTGACAGTTATTTTGTGTTTCTTCCATTTGCGAATAATCGCACCAATTGTTGTCACCTTCTCACCAAGCTGCTTGGTGATGGTCTTGTAGCCCATTCCAGCCTTGTGTAGGTCTACAATCTTGTCCCTGACATCCTTGGAGAGCTCTTTGGTCTTGGCCATGGTGGAGAGTTTGGAATCTGATTGATTGATTGCTTCTGTGGACAGGTGTCTTTTATACAGGTAACAAGCTGAGACTCCCTTTAAGAGTGTGCTCCTAATCTCAGCTCATTACCTGTATAAAAAAGACACCTGGGAGCCAGAAATCTTTCTGATTGAGAGGGGGTCAAATACTTATTTCCCTCATTAAAATGCAAATCAATTTATAAAATTTTTGAAATGTGTTTTTCTGGATTTTGTTGTTGTTTATTCTGTCTCTCACTCTTCAAATAAACCTACCATTAAAATTATAGACGGATCATTTATTTGTCAGTGGGCAAACGTACAAAATCAGCAGGGGATCAAATACTTTTTTTCCCTCACTGTAGGGAATAGGGTGCAATTTGGGACACAGCCCTTGAGTAAGGTGGACAAGTAATATAATAATATGCCATTTAGCAGACGCTTTTATCCAAAGCGACTTACAGTCATGCCTGCATACATTTTATTTTTGTGTATGGGTGGTCCCGGGGATCGAACCCACTACCTTGGCGTTACAAGCGCCATGCTCTACCAGCTGAGCTACAGAGGACCACTAAGGCAGCGAGCCTTTATACACACACATAGGCACACTCAGAGATGGACATATGCAAAACATGGCTCCATAAGAACACCACCACAACTCACAGAAGACTGACAGAGAATGAATGCCTTAGGGGGGGGGGCTTGGGGGGCTTGGGGGACTTGGGGTCTCAATTTACTGTTGAGAGTTAGAATAGTAGAACACATAAGGTGCAATCTCGAAATTTGGTTGTGCATCACCAGTTTTTCTCATGTTATGTCAGTCACGGATAGTCAGTCAATTAGCCCATATCAGCTAACAATTAGATTGCTAAACTAGTTTAGCAGCCAGCTATCTAAACTTGTCATCATGGTTGAATTACCGGCCAGGGGGCCCCCATTGATTTTGTTAGTCAGTCTCACTCAGATATCATATGGATGTGGGTACATAGACCCGCGAGCAACTGCGGCCCCTCATGATGAGTTCAGATTTTTTGTGGCCCCCACCCCAATCAAAGTTGCCCATCCCTGCCATAGAATATCAGCTACAGGCGCACTTCCGTTTTATTCAGCGGAGTTAGAAAGTTGATGTTATGTAGCCAACTGTAATGTTTATTGAATATTGATTTTATATCACAGATTGCATTTATATATCAATAATATCTTTACAGTTTGAAAGATGCAATAACCAAATATATTATTGATGTAGTATTTTGGTCAAATACATCATCAATATTGTATTTGCATCATGAAAACAATTAATATCAACTTTGCCTATAACTACATTGTATGTACATCTTGAATAATAAGCAATTGACAATGTCACAAATTGTTAATCGGCTACTCAAATATGCTGTCATCGGCTATAGGCCCAAATGTGACACATCTAGTAAAGAAGTAGCCTAATAGGGTCTGTGTTTTCATCACTGAAAAAAGGCAAACAGGCTAGACTAGAGACAAATAAATAAAAATAAACATTTTCATTGTAGAAATATGACAGAAAATATGACACTATTATGTGAAGTTCGACAAATACTAGCCCAGGTAACGTAACCTGCGATGTGAAATGAACTCACCATATTCCGACGAATCTACGGAATCCAAGCTCTCTTCCTTCACTTTTTTACCCATTTCCTATCCTTTCCTCCACCTCTACTAGTTTATATTGGTCTAAAACGTTCCAATTGCCAGGTAAATCAAGTCGAAGTTAAATAATCAAAAAGTATAAAACTACGTTTTAAAGGTGTTACTACACCTGTGTGCACAATAAAAAACAAACTTGCTTTGAATAAAATCTTACTCCCTCGCGCTCCAGTAACTAGGGTTGTGACATCACGAACGCACCTGTGGGATGCGCACTCAGCAAGAAAACCACATAATGTCAGGAAGGATTTCACTTCTCCAACAAAGCAGTAAAGAGTAAGAGACAATTTATGCTTGATCCGAAAATGTGGTCGGAGGCCCCGTATGGATGGTGTGACGCAATAGCGGCGCCTTTGGAAGCACGCAGAGGCCAATTTGAGCTCTGTACCGCATCGCTGTATGACTCAAATTTTGTAGCTAACAATGTGGAGGGCTCCGTATAACTCCGCATTGACATGATTGGTTGATGGTAGGTGAGGGCGGGAGGTCCTGTATAAACACAAACTCACTTCCTTGACAACAGCGCTGCTCGGCGAAGCGCAAGAAGTATGAATGCCCTGACTTCTGCAGAGGCCATATCACCGTAAATGATGCACAGCCAATACAGATGTCGGATTGACCATGAGGTGCCTTTAACTATGTGACTACTGCTTTTGAATAGGCATGTGCAACTTTGATGTCATAATGCTTTGTAATGACCAGAAAATTCGTTTTCATACATTTATCTAGCATCTCCCATGTAGGGTTTTCCACAAATGCTTCCAACTTAAAGTCCATCCCTTACGAAAACAGATTGCAGTCAGAGTGCAGTATAACTGCAGTTATTCTGCAATAACTGCGTCCAAAATACCACAGTCGACTGCAGTTACAAAACATGTTTTTTTTTGTAGACCCGCCACATCTCTCAAAACAACTAGAGCACTGGGCCAGCCACTTAAATATTACCTTGGCCAACACAGGGGAAACGCCTTCTGACCAATGAGATGGACAAGCCTGCACAGGTGTAACACATACTGATTAACGAAGTGACACCAATCGGTGCACCCTACGTGCTAGCGTGCTATACGTGCTAAAAGTCCAACCTCAAAACATAAATGGAAAAAACAAAATCTGTACACAGTTCATATATTGAAATCAGTCAATTGAAATAAATTCATTAGGCCCTAATCTATGGATTTCACATGACTGGGAATAGAGTTATGGGCGTGCATCAGAAAACCAGTCAGTATTTGGTGTGACCACCATTTGCTTCACGCAGTGTGACACATCTCCTTCGCATAGAGTTGATCAGGCTGTTGATTGTGGCCTGTGGAATGTTGTCCCACTCCTCTTCAATGGCTGTGCGAAGTTGCTGGATATGGGTGGGAACTGGAACACTCTGTAGTACACGTCATTCCAGAGCATCCCAAACATGCTCAATGGGTGACATGTCTGGTGAGTATGCAGGCCATGGAAGAACTGGGACATTTTCAGCTTCCAGGACTTGTGTACAGAAGATCCTTGCTACATGTGGCCATGCATTATCATGCTGAAACATGAGGTGATGGTGGCGGATGAATGGCACGACAATCGGCCTCAGGATCTCGTCACAGTATATCTGTGCATTCAAATTGCCATTGACAAAATGCAATTGTGTTCGTTGTCAGTAGCTTATGCCTGCCCATACCGCTGCCACCATGGGGCACTCTGTTCACACCGCTCGCCCACACGACACTATACACACTGTCTGTCATCTGCCCTGTACAGTTAAAACCAGGATGAATCCGTGAAGGGCACACTTCTCCAGCGTGCCAGTGGCCATCGAAGGTGAGCATTTGCCCAGTGAAGTTGGTTACAACACTGAACTGCAGTCAGGTCAAGACCCTGGTGAGGACGACGAGCACGCAGATGAGCTTCCCTGAAACGTTTTTTGACCGTTTTTATAGAAATTCTTTGGTTGTGCAAACCCACAGTTTCATCAGCTGTCCAGGTGGCTGGTCTCAGACGATCCCGCAGCTGAAGAAGCTTGATGTGGAGGTCCTGGGCTGGCGTGGTTACACATGGTCTGCGGTTGTGAGCCCGGTTGGATGTACAGCCAAATTCTCTAAAACGGCTTATGGTAGAGAAATTAACATTCAATTCTCTGGCAACAGCTCTGGTGGACATTCTTACAGTCAGCATGCCAATTGCACGCTGCCTCAAAACTTAATACATCTGTGTCATTGTGTTGTGTGACCAAACTGGACATTTTAGAGTCGCCTTTTATTGTCCCCAGCACAAGGTGCACCTGTGTAACGATCATGCTGTTTAATCAGCTTCTTGATATGCCACACCTGTCAGGTGGATGGATTATCTTGGCATTGCTCACTAACAGGGATGTAAACAAATTTGTGCACCAATTATGAGAGAAATAAGCTTTTTGTGCATATGGAACATTTCTGGGATCTTTTATTTCAGCTCATGAAACATGGGACAAACACTTTACATGTTGCTTTTATATTTTTGTTCAGTGTATTTAGGATGTTTGAGGGAGTGACTTTTACTACCCATCACATTAAAAGCCCTTCCTTATTGCTTTGGAAATGTTTAAGTCTGTCTCCACATGTTCTTCAGTGATTTAACATGAACAAGGCTGTCAAATGGACTTTGCGGTCAATATTACTGGAAAAGTTGTAAAAGCAAAGAGTTCATATTCCCTTTCCCATCATGAGTTGTAGTAGACTTTGCAATAACCATGAACTGGGGCAGGGGAAGGAAAGCATGGTTCAGTTGACTCGCAGATAGTGGCACCTATTCAACTCTGTCCAAGACCAGATTAAGGTGCTGTTCAGAGCAAAGGTTAAACTTTAAAAAATAAGATACAAATGGAATGTTACATTCTCAACTTTTTAGCAAACTATGTAGAAATTAGAACCACCAATTCTCTGGATTGTCTGGGCTGCTTGATATTCAGTGAGTTGTATGAAATGCAACACTGCTGAAACAAATGTGGATCCATTAGTCAATTTTTAATCACATTTATTAAAATGACAAAACATAAAACAAAAACAGACATATGCAATATGACTTCATTACTACACAAGTCAGCTGTTGGTAACTTCTTCAATTACTTCACAGCAGTAGACTGTTTCATGGTAGAGTACTGTGAAATTAATTGTTCAGTATGTATTTGGCACAGCAAGTGGTGAGCATAACTGGCATTTCATAGCATGCTGTAGTGCCACTGATCTCTCATGGCAATACTGTACTGTATGAAAGGGTCTTACACAGAAGACACCTTTTTTGTCAGTCATTTATACCCCATACATGGAAAAGGTTAAAGTTTGTCTACCACACTGAAACAATAACTGCACAAATTCATACGAAATTAACAGTGACAGTGTAAAAACGGAGAAATACACACAACAGGCCCCAGGGGAAGCCTAGGAGTTTCCTAGCATGGCAAGCCCAGGGTCAGTCTCCGATTCTGGACAGGCTTCCAGTCGAGCGAGCCTGCTCTGCTCCAAGGCGATGGCCTCCGCTGAGTGTTTGCATTTCTCTGATCCACACTGGCAGGTGAAGTATTTACTCTTGATGTCCCAGAAACGGTCTCCATAATCAAACCTGTGCACACAGAAAGAACATTGAGAATTGTATCAGCCTGGAATTACAATGTACGTTAATATCATATTCATAGTGGAATAAACAATATACTCTCAGGCCATTTTATTTCTGGTGCAAGAGAAGCGATATATGGAATAGATGCTACTCTTACTGAAAAAGTGGTGCCAAATCATGTTTCAACTTTCCTAAGGCAGTATCAAAGCCACTCCACTGGGCTTCCATTTTGTGTCTGGCGCTCAGATCCACAGTGTGCGTGCGGTGCAGCCTCTCACCCTAGCTCCTGTCCTGTGAGGATATCTCTGGAACTGAAGAAGGCGATGCGGGGGAAGCGCAGGTCCTGGTGCAGCATGAACACCCGCACAGGGATGATGTTGGGGTCACACAGGTGGTTGATGAAGCGGCTGATGTTACCGTAGTAACGGGCATCAATGCAGTACACCTCCCCGTCCTTTAGAGGGAAGGAGAGCGAGAGAGAGAGAGATGTACTAAGGTGCATTGGTATATCAGCGGTATGTTTTTAAAAACGTATCTCTGTGTCTAAATGACGGTAAAGTCTACACCAGTTGTATTTGGCGCATGTGACAAATCAAATTTGATTTGATGTATTTTATCGTTTTTATGTGTAATCCCTATGAGAGGAAAAACAGATGAGGTACCTTGTTGTCCAGGTCAAAGAGGTAAGAGTCATCTTCTCTCACATCTGCCTCTGCGTCAGAGATCAGTTCTCCTACATATCTGTGTGGAGAGAAATGTTACTTACATTCATCAACAAGCCAATTAACTATTTGATAGAACTGGCAAAACATTAGATTGGCTACTGTTGGAGCCAAATTCCCTTCTTTTTTTTTGTGTGCTATATTGAATATAAGTATACATATTGCATTATGAATTATTGAGTATGGTTGATTTTTGGTTTTCCATTATGGTGATCATCGGTATTTAAAAGCATTATGGAGCCTTTCCTGGGAACCCCCCCCGCCCCGCCCCCGCCCGCCCATGTTCTCCTTCCCTTTTCTATTTAGGTTTTTGGCAGTATGGGTCAACTAGGCCTCAGGTATGGCGGTACCGCACATTTTTTTTTTTTTACCACTAAGCTAATACTTGGAACTAAGAAAGCTGCTATTAGTCTATACTTTTTGTTTGCCGTTTAAGTCTGATCATCGATGGAATATAGCCTATGAAATTACCTTTGTTTGGAAAATAAATGTATGCTTGTTTTTACACTATCGGAGCATACCTGTGGCCTCAAGGCAAGTTTGGAATTGGGTTACGAATTGCCTTTATACACACTAATTTCCTTTTAAATAACCATACGCACGCACACACACACTTACTCGCAGATGAAGCTGCCTTGGGGAATGTCCTGTAGAGCCCGAACTCCCCATCCCATCTTCTCTGTCCGGTACAACTGGAGACGTACCCTAAGAGAGAGAGAGAGAAAGTATACCAGTGAGATTGTACCAGGACACAGACCAGACAGTAAGATTAGCATTTTAGTCATTTAGCAGACGCTCTTATCCAGAGTGACTTACAGTAGAGAGTGCATACATTTTTTGTACTGGTCCCCAGTGGGACAGATAGTGCCTTCAGAAAGTATTCATACTCCATGACTTATTCCACATTTTGTTGTCTTACAGCCTGAATTCAAAATGGATTCAATTGATTTCTCACCCATCTACACACAATACCCTATAATGACAAAGTGAAAACATGTTTTTAGAAATTGTAGCAAATTCATTGAAAATGAAATACAGAAATATCTCATTTATATAAGTATTCACACCACTTTGATATGACAATCCAAATTGAGATCAGGTTTATCCAATTTCCTTTGAACGTTGTTGAGATGTCAATACAACTTGATTGGAGCCCACTTGTGGCCAATTCAATTGTTTGGACATGATTTAGAAAGAAACACACCTGTCTATATAAAGGTTCCACAATTGACAGTGCATGTCAGAGCAGAAACTATACTATGAAGTCCAAGGAACTGTCCGTAGATCTTTGAGATAGAATTGTGATGGGGCATATACAGATGAAGTCGGAAGTTTACATACAACGTAGCCAAATACTTCTAAACTCAGTTTTCAAAATTCCTGACATTTAATCCTAGTAAAAAGTCCCTGTCTTAGGTCAGTTAGGATCACCACTTTATTTTAAGAATGTGAAATGTCAGAATTATAGTAGAGAGAATGATTTATTTCAGCTTTTATTTCTTTCATCACATTCCCAGTGGGTCAGAAGTTTACATACACTCAATTAGTATTTGGTAGCATTGCCTTTATATTGTTTCACTTGGGTCAAACGTTTTGGGTAGCCTTCCACAAGCTTCCCACAATAAGTTGGGTGAATGTTGGCCCATTCCTCCTGACAGAGCTGGTGTAACTGAGTCAGGTTTGTAGGCCTCCTTGCTCGCACACACTGTTTCAGTTCTGCCCACACATTTTCTATAGGATTGAGGTTAGGGTTTTGTGATGGCCACTCCAATACCTTGACTTTGTTGTCCTTAAGCCATTTTGCCACAACTTTGGAAGTATGCTTGGGGTCATTGTCTATTTGGAAGACCCATTTGCGACCAAGCAAGATTGATGTCTTGAGATGTTTCTTTAATATATCCACATACTTTTTCTTCCTCATGATGCCATCTATTTTGTGAAGCGCACCAGTCCCTCCTGCAGCAAAGCACCCCCACAGCATGATGCTGCCACCCCCATGCTTCACAGTTGGGATGGTGTTCTTCGGCTTGCAAGCTACCCCCTTTTTCCTCCAAACATAACAATGGTCATTATGGCCAAACCGTTGTATTGTTGTTTCATCAGACCAGAGGACATTTCTCCAAAAAGTACGATCTTTGTCCCCATGTGCAGTTGCAAATCGTAGTCTGGCTTTTTTATGGTAGTTTTGGAGCATTGGCTTCTTCCTTGCTGAGCGGCCTTTCAGGTTATGTCGATATAGGACTCGTTTTACTGTGGATATAGATACTTTTCTACCTGTTTCCTCCAGCATCTTCACAAGGTCCTGCGTGGTCCCATGGTGTTTATCCTTGTGTACTATTGTTTGTACAGATGAACGTGGTACCTTCAGCCGTTTGGAAATTGCTCCCAAGGATGAACCAGACTTGTGGAGGTCTGAGGTATTGGCTGATTTCTTTTGATTTTCCCATGATGTCAAGCAAAGAGGCACTGAGTTTGAAGGTAGGCCTTGAAATACATCCACAGGTACACCTCAAATTGACTCAAATGATGTCAATTAGCCTATCAGAAGCTTCTAAAGTTTTGACATCATTTTCTGGAATTTTCCAAGCTGTTTAAAGGCACAGTCAACTTGGTGTATGTAAACTTCTGACCCACTGGAATTGTGATATAGTGAATAATAAGTGAAATAATCTGTCTGTAAACAATTGTTGGAAAAATTACTTGTGTCATGCACAACGTAGATGTCCTAACCGACTTGCCAAAACTATAGTTTGTTAACAATACATTTATGGAGTGGTTGAAAAATGAGTTTTAATTACTCAAACCTAAGTGTATGTAAACTTCCAACTTCAACTGTATCTGCGGAAGGGTATAAAACAATTTCTAGAGTCTTGATAGTTTCCAAGAGCACAGTGGTCTCCATCATTGGGAAATTGAAAAAATACAGAACAACACAGACTCTGCCTAGAGATGGCCTTCTGACCAAACTGAGCAACCAGGCAAGAATGACCTTGGTTAGGGAGGTGACCAAGATCCCAATGACCACTCTGACAGAACTACATAGTTCCTTGGCTGAGATGGGAGAACCTGCCAGAAGGACAACGGTCTCTACAGCACTTCACCAATCTGGCCTTTATGGGAGAGTGGCCAGACGGAAGCCACTTCTGAGAAAAAAGGCACATGACATCACACCTGGAGTTTGAAAAAAGGCACGTGAAAGACTGAGATCATTAGGCAAAGGAGTCTGTGGTCTGATGAGACAAATTAACTATTTGGCCTGAATGCAAAGCGTTATGTGTGGAGAAAACAAGGCACAGCTCATCACCTGTCTAACACCATCCCTACCGTGAAGCATGGTGGTGGCAGCATCATGCTATGGGAATGCTTTTCAGCAGCAGGGAATGGGAGACTGGTAGCCAAATACAGGCAAATCCTTATTGAGAATCTGCTTCAGAGTGCAAACGACCTTAGACTGGGATGAGGATTTACGTTACAATAGGACAATGACCCCAAGCATACAGCCAAAGCAACGCTGGAATGGCTTCAGAACAAGAATGTGAAAGTCCTTGAGTGGCCCAGCCAAAGACCAGACTTGAATCCCATTAAAAATCAGTGGAAAGACTTGAAGATTGGTCTTCACCACCACTCTCCATCTAACTTAACAGAGCTTGAGACAATCTGCAAGGAAGAATGGGAGAAAATCCCCAAATCCAGATGTGTAAAGCTGATACAGACATATCCAAGACGACTTAAAACTGTAATCACCGCCAAAGGTGCTTTTACAAAGTGTTGACTCAGGGGTGTGAATACTTAAGTAAATGAGATTTCTGTATTTCATTTTTAATAAATGTGCAAAACTTTCTAGAAAAAAAATAATTATTTAATCCATTTCGAATTCAGGCTGTAACAACAAAATGTGGAATAAGTCATGGGGTATGAATACTTTCTGAAGGCACTGTATACAATAGTGTTCTAATTCGATTTAAATGTGTACAGTGGTGTGGTAACACAGCTCTTACTTGATGCCCGCCTGCACCACTCTGTTCTTGCAGGTGCGGTAGCAGGAGCACGCCAGGTTACATTCGAATATGAGAGGTGGTTCGATCTTATTGAACTCCTGGAGTAACCGGTGGTCCTGGTAAACACAGAAAACACATGTAGTCCCCCACAAATTAGATATAAAAAGGTTCCACAATTGACAGTGCATGTCAGAGCAGAAACTATACTACGAAGTCCAAGGAACTGTCCGTAGATCTTTGAGATATAATTGTGATGAGGCATATATCTGTGGACGGGTATAAAACAATTTCTAGAGTCTTGACAGTTTCCAAGAGCACAGTGGTCAATCAGTGCAATTTTGTAAATGCCGGATCTCTTATGGCCAGACGCATCCTTCATCAAAAGAGAACATCACGTAAAACCCGCAAATTCAGACAAACAAAATGGTGTTCGCACTTAAATGTAGCATAAAGCTTACTTCCTTATTCCATTTTTTTACATTATTTTCACTGCATCAGGGAAAGCGTTCACAAATGTTTCGTCTTTACAGCCTTCTTCAGTGTGTAGGTTTCAATTCAAAACAGTATTTGTAAAGAACAACCGATGGGCAGCATGTGCTTCTAATCAGGATTGCCACTCATCTGCCAATCAGAGATGTGGCTTTTCTACCTGTATACAAATTAGTCACAATGGGTATAGGAGCGGGCACGAAGGGCAACTCACGAATCAACCGCCCCAGGTGTCCGCTCACCTGAATACATCATATAAATTCATGAGACAGCCCAACACAAAGGACATCAGGCACAGCCGTTCATAAATATGTGGGGCCAACTCATAAACGATACGTAAAATCTGATATAAAAGAACACTGTCCATAAGTCTAAATGTAGCTTATAGGAAGGAGGTGAAATCTAATGATTTGTTTAAACAGTGTGGAGATACAGAATTTCATTTATATATCCACATGGTTTCTCTTTGGAGTAATTTGTTGTCGTAATCACCTCTACGTGGTGGATGAACTTTTTCGATCCCGATGCAACGCAATTCATTATTAGAATGATTTTGTTCTATAAAGTATCTCGCAACTGGCGAGGTGATATCTTGACGTCTAATAGTGGATTTATGTTCTCCAAAACGGGATGTTTTTCCAATATAAATCCAATATAAATTTATTAAGTAACTGGCTTCTGTTCAAGCTTTTAACTTGTTTTTAAGCTTTATCAAGCCAGGTATCAAGGTATCCTCTAAAGCGAAAACAGTCAAGGAGATCATTTAATTGTCTATCATATTCTTCCTGTGTCGCAGATGCGACGCAGTCTATGAAGTTGGCTTACTGGTAAACCTCTTTTTAGGGGGAGAGGTTGTAAAGCCGAATCATCTGTATACGTTATCCCGGATGCAGTGAAAATCCTTTTTTTTTGTATCGAATAATTAAGTAAGCTTTATGCTACATATTTTCAGACGCATCATTCACCCAAATTTCATAAAAATTGGGCCAGTGAAGTCTGAGGTATCACGTGGGTTAGCTAGACTCATATCCCTGAGCATGCGTGCCAAATTTCAGCACTCTGATTCAAACAGATCAAGAGATAAACATGTGCCCGTTATAGCGCCCCTGTGTGGTCGATATTAATGTTCTTGCATATGTTGAGTATTGACAGTGTTTGCAACACGTGTACCAAATTGTTACAATATGAATATCCACGTGAATGTTTATTGGTCAATATCAGCCATGTTGTTTTAGGTACTAGTCTGGAAAATATTGCACTGAGAGACCTTTGTCCATAGAGGCCACATATCAAGTTTTGTGCAGATCAGTCAGTCGGTGCCAGAAGAGTAGCGTTTTAAGTGTTTTTCACAAAATTCAAAACGGAGGGAAATCCATCATGACGGACCTTATGGATCCAGAGACACATTTTTTCCTTGTGAGGAGAGGGACATATGTACCGAATTTCATGACTTTAGTTAAAACTGGGTGAGGGCGTGACCCTTTCAAAGTTTGAATTTTCAATTTATTGTTATTGCGCCACCATCTGGCCAATCCGTGTAATTTTGTAAATGCTGGATATATATGGCAAGACACATCATTCACCCAAGTTTTGTCAAAATAGGGCCAGTGCTGTCTGAGATATCGTGTGTGACTAACGTACGAACGTACAACCGGATGGACGGAGACAGATCCACAGTCCCCTCCCCAATTTCATAATGGGGGACAAAAAAGGGAAATACAGTTTGTTACACTTTATTTGGAAAGTCCATCACAAATAATGTGTTCAACAAACTATCCACAGTTTAATAAGATATAATATGTACAATTTGAAGAATGAGAGCAAGATCTCTGAAAACCCAGGATATTTACAAGGTTCCAGTTTGTCAATTTCCTTAATCAAATATAAACTACAACCCCAACATTTACATACTTTTATATCCAAATAAAGTGGGCTGTAAAATAAATCATGTGTCACTAACCTTGTCGTACCAGCAGCGGATACTGAGCTGTCCACACAGACAGTTGCTGGAGGAGCAGTCATCTGTGCAGCTGCAGTGCTGAGGGACAGATACAGACACAGGATGCATGCATGATCAATGATAACAAGTATCATATGTATGTATCATCTATAAGTGTGTGTTGTTACCGTATGTATGTACCTGTAAGTGCGTGATGTTGCGGTCAATGTTCATGGCTGAAGTCTCACAGTTCTCAGAGACGTACTTGTAGTCTGAGGGACATCCCTCATCATCCACTGCGTTCACACAGGGGATAGGCACATTCTCATACCCCTGGGCTACGTCACTGCTGATGATCTTCTCTGTACGAAGCATGCGATTGGCTATCCCCCTGCGCAGCTTTCTGTTTATCTGGAGTGACACCCAGACGGGCGAATCGGAACGCGCCAGAGAAAGAGGTGTGTCCCCTTCCCTGTTCATGATGTCAATGTCTGCCCCCCTAGAGAGGAAAAGCCTGTAGAGAGAGGAGATAAGCAATCAAACAAGGTGCTAAAGTTGCCCTTAGGCACAGATCTAGGATCAGATTACCCACCCCATATGATAACCGCAACCATTAGGGGCGTAAAATGCTCAAATGACTTCAGATAAGTATCTACGGACAAATTCCTTCTATTCCAAACTAATAGACTACAAGAGTAACCGTTGGATGCGATTGACAGGGTATTGGGCTACTCACGTGACACACTCGAGGAAGCCCTCCCTGGAAGCGATGTGTAGGGGAGTGTCCCCGTGCATGTTGACAGAGGACAGCTGGCAGCCGGCGTTCAGGACCATCTCTGCTATCTCCACACAGCCTGCGAAGGATGCCCAGTGGAGACACACATTCATCTCCTAATAGAGAGAGAGAGAGAAGGAGAGATTTGTATCATCCCAGAGGGACTTTGATCACAATCAATTAATTTAAAAAAAAATATATATATATATATATATACATACATACAGTGGGGAAAAAAAGTATTTAGTCATCCACCAATTGTGCAAGTTCTCCCACTTAAAAAGATGAGAGAGGCCTGTAATTTTCATCATAGGTACACGTCAACTATGACAGACAAATTTAGAAAAAAAAATCCAGAAAACCATATTGTAGGATTTTTAATGAATTTATTTGCAAATTATGGTGGAAAATAAGTATTTGGTCACCTACAAACAAGCATGATTTCTGGCTCTCACAGACCTGTAACTTCTTCTTTAAGAGGCTCCTCTGTCCTCCACTCGTTACCTGTATTAATGGCACCTGTTTGAACTTGTTATCAGTATAAAAGACACCTGTCCACAACCTCAAACAGTCACACTCCAAACTCCACTATGGCCAAGACCAAAGAGCTGTCAAAGGACACCAGAAACAAAATTGTAGACCTGCACCAGGCTGGGAAGACTGAATCTGCAATAGGTAAGCAGCTTGGTTTGAAGAAATCAACTGTGGGAGCAATTATTAGGAAATGGAAGACATACAAGACCACTGATAATCTCCCTCGATCTGGGGCTCCACGCAAGATCTCATCCCGTGGGGTCAAAATGATCACAAGAACAGTGAGCAAAAATCCCAGAACCACACGGGGGGACCTAGTGAATGACCTGCAGAGAGCTGGGACCAAAGTAACAAAGCCTACCATCAGTAACACACTACGCCGCCAGGGACTCAAATCCTGCAGTGCCAGACGTGTCCCCCTGCTTAAGCCAGTACATGTCCAGGCCCGTCTGAAGTTTGCTAGAGTGCATTTGGATGATCCAGAAGAGGATTGGGAGAATGTCATATGGTCAGATGAAACCAAAATATAACTTTTTGGTAAAAACTCAACTCGTCGTGTTTGGAGAACAAAGAATGCTGAGTTGCATCCAAAGAACACCATACCTACTGTGAAGCATGGGGGTGGAAACATCATGCTTTGGGGCTGTTTTTCTGCAAAGGGACCAGGACGACTGATCCGTGTAAAGGAAAGAATGAATGGGGCCATGTATCGTGAGATTTTGAGTGAAAACCTCCTTCCATCAGCAAGGGCATTGAAGATGAAACGTGGCTGGGTCTTTCAGCATGACAATGATCCCAAACACACCGCCCGGGCAACGAAGGAGTGGCTTCGAGAGAAGCATTTCAAGGTCCTGGAGTGGCCTAGCCAGTCTCCAGATCTCAATCCCATAGAAAATCTTTGGAGGGAGTTGAAAGTCCGTGTTGCCCAGCGACAGCCCCAAAACATCACTGCTCTAGAGGAGATCTGCATGGAGGAATGGGCCAAAATACCAGCAACAGTGTGTGAAAACCTTGTGAAGACTTACAGAAAACGTTTGACCTGTGTCATTGCCAACAAAGGGTATATAACAAAGTATTGAGAAACTTTTGTTATTGACCAAATACTTATTTTCCACCATAATTTGCAAATAAATTCATTAAAAATCCTACAATGTGATTTTCTGGATTTTTTTCTTCTCAATTTGTCTGTCATAGTTGACGTGTACCTATGATGAAAATTACAGGCCTCTCATCTTTTTAAGTGGGAGAACTTGCACAATTGGTGGCTGACTAAATACTTTTTTTCCCCACTGTATATATATATTTATAAAGAATTGGAGTCCTACAACCAAAATGACACTGACCTTCAATAAATGAAGTATAAAGAAGCAAATGCTGTCGTTTCAAGGATTTGTGCCTATAAATCCTACACATCTTCCTTCAAAATCAGTTTGGCCATTGTATTCCCATATGTTGTTATACCAGGACAAAGACTAACCTTGTCCTTGAGGGTGACATCAGCCCCCCTGTTAAGAAGTGCTCTGATGACCTTGATGTGCTTGTGCTCTGCAGCCCAGATGATAGGAGTCCAGCCTCCACTATCCTGAAAGCGGGATACAGCACATTGACTCAGAGGATAAGGGGACTGGACTATACAGTGGTACTCAAGCCAATACAGCCAAACACAAGTACATTACATGGAACTGGTAGATAGATTAAACATACAGGTTTATTCTGGTGGTAATAGTTAACTCAGTCTATTGACTAATTAAGAACTACAGGTAACTAACACTACCAAGTGACACATGATACAGTATCTGTTATTGAGTACATTGAATGATTACTATCCCTACAAAGGAAGGTGTTAGTGCTACGCTAAGTAAAGGAGTATTACACTGCATAGACAAACATAACATACAGAGGGATACAGTTTGAAATTAGACAAACTCTGGTTAGCCGAAGTAAAAAAAAAAAATTACAACTTTACATCAAATAAAGAGAATCATTATCTTCAACTGTGCATGCATAGTCTGAATCAAGATAAATTATAAACAATTATTCTCAGAACCCAGACAACGTGGTCATTGGACATGATGCAGTGCAAAGTACACAGTCGACAAAGAGTGACAGACTGATAAAACACACACACACACTGACTTGTTGGTTGTTGCCACCCTGTCTAGAGCCCAAGAGTGTTCCTCTCTCGCTCTTCCCCACCTGTGCGTTGATGTCCACCTGTCCCGTCTCCAACAAAAGGGTGACAATGTCCAGACTGCCCAGTTTGGCTGCGTGGTGGAGACCAGTGTAGCCATCTTCTTCCTGGAGAGCAGAGGAGGGGGAGAAGAGAGGGAGGAGGGGAGAAGAGAGGAAAATAAGGGAAAAGGGAGATGGAAAGAGAACGGAAAAAAATAGAATAGTTGAGGGGAAGAGGAGAAGGAGAAAAGACAATAGGAGAGGTGGACAGAAAAAATCTCATATTTTAATATTGTCAGAAGTGGATAATTTGATCGCAATCAAGATTGTATTAACATACCACCTACAGGTCCTAGCTACAGTTAGTCTATAATATATTATCCTGTTGACTTCTGGGGTGACTCAAGGTGATTATCAAATTCTTTCAGGTTTAAATCCTTTACGGCTCATGTTATTAGAGCCTCTACTAGTGTTAGCGGGTTGGCTTTGGTATAGGGGCTGTTTACCAGACACTCACAGTGTGATAGACGCAGGCTCCACTCTGGACCAGGTACCTGGTCACCTCTACATGGTTGTTGACGATTGCCTCCAGGAGAGGGGTCCTCATGGATTTGTCTTGGACGTCTAGTTTAGCACCTGCCTGTAAATAGACAATACATTTATTTGAGCACTCTGGTGAATAATAACTGTCTGAGTGACACTCTGATCCATATTTGGGTGAATAAGTGTAAAGGAGTCACTTTTATCATTGACCATAACGATAAAGAGCAGGGTCGTATTCATTTGGGGACACCGTAGTAAAACATTTGCAACAGAAAACTGCCTAATGAATATCACCCAGTTGTAATTGAAATGAAAAGGTTGTTCACCTGCACCAGCATGTAGCAGACCTCCAGCAGGCCTCTCTGGGCGGCAACGTGGAGAGCACAGCGTCTGTTCTGGGAGTCAGCCTGGTAGGCTGGGTCTATGCCCTCCACTGAACCAAACAGAGAGAGTAAGTGGAGTGGATGGGTTATTAGCAGCAGTAGGAGTCAATATCAACTCATTCATTCACTTGCACTTATGTGAAAGAACAGTGGTAACACGAGTTTCCAGAGCTGATGAAAGAGAGGACAAAACATGCAATCAGATCAGGAATGTATTTTATCTAACAGTAAAATACAAAACAGACTCCTTATGACACTTACTGAGCATGAGCAGAACTCGCTGCACCTCGCCCTGCTTGGCGGCTGGATAGAGCTGGCGGGGGTGAAACCTCAGCTTCTTCCTCCTGACCAATCACAACCAATAATCATCACGTGAGAACAGCTCCTATGTTATGGTTGTCAGGACTCTGTGTAAAATGCATCGCTCCCACATCTTTTCCTTGGACTAACCACTGATCCAACACCATTAAATACATTTCCCCAATTCAATCAGTTCAGAAAATTTTGAATTTCAACAAAGGGAGGAAAGATGGATGTATTTTCAAAGCATCTAAACAGGGCCCAAATCTAGCTGTAAACAATTCCCATCAATCATTGATTTGCAATAAATAATGATATTCTATAAGACAGACCATTATTAGTCTATTTTATTATTTTGTCTCACTTCTCAGTGTCCTGGGTGAGAATGGCATTCTGCAGTGCCGCCCTACTGGGCCCTGCGGGAAGTGCACTGGGACAGACTGGCTTCCCATTGGGCAGACAGAGGGAGGGTCCCACACTGTCCACTCCCCCCTCCCCTGGGGGGGCTGCGTTGACAGGCCCTGCTGCCACAGCGGCTTGGGGGGGCTGCTGCTCCGGGTCCTTCTTTATCAACCCACGCATCCTCGCACTGACAAATAGAGAGGAGAAAGAGAGTGAGTAAAAAAAGGCTGGGACAATTAGGGTGGTGCGAATATCCATAATTTCCACATGAATAGTTATCAAATAATAATGACACAGACACAAGCTCAAATCAATTATCCAGAAATACACAACAAGCAGAGCAAAAGCATCCAATGATTGCAGATTGAAGTGCAGTGTAGAAAATATCATACGGCATCCTACACTTAGTCATTTCACACATCTTCATCTCCCTCCATCCTCACCTGATAGGGCCCTCCGGCCTCTTCCCGTTCTTCAGCGCCCCTGTGGAGGCCGCCAGGGAGAGGGCCGAGGGGATGGGGTGTGGGAGGGACGGTGTGGTGGTGGAGGAGGCTGAGGTGGTGACCACTGTGACCGCAGATGCTGTGGGGGGGATGGTGACCTCTTGGGCCTCCGAGGCATCCTCACCACAGTGGGGGCAGAAGAGCATGCCTGTGCCCATGCCCCTGCCCCTCCCAGCCCCGAGCACTGTCACACAACCCCGGTGGAAGCGGTGGGCGATGCGCTGGTCCGGACAGCACTCTAGGAAGGTGCCCTGGGAGATCAGAGATAGGGAGGGGTGTGAGGGTTAAGACCAGGTCAAACATATGCTGTACATGCAGACTTATAATGCATTTCAAGTGTCTGCAGTGGCCTCTCTGTGTCTCCTCTCCATCTTTACAGATCTGAAAACACAAGCTAGGTCTAAGGTGAAAGCAATATGGAGGATGTCTACTTGGAATTTGCTTTCACCTATCCAGTTCTTTGACATCAGATAGTATGTGTGATTGTGGGGGTGGCACAAAACCTTACCGCGATACAGAAGTATCCACATCCAGGGCAGCAGTGATGTTTGACCATATGTGACCGATGGCTCTCGCACAACACCATGAGGGAAACCCGACTGGACGGCCGCATGGTCTCCCCCTTCAGAATGATATTGGTACAGCCCACCAGCTGCGAAAGACAGAGGGAAAGTGAAAAATTGCTGGGGCGGCAGGTAGCTTAGTGGTTAAGAGCGTTGTGCCAGTAACCGAAAGGTCGCTGGTTCTAACCCCCGAGCCGACTAGGTGAAAAATCTGTCGATGTGCCCTTGAGCAAGGCACTTAACCCTAATTGCTCCTGTAAGTCGCTCTGGATAAGAGCGTCTGCTAAATGACAAATAAATAAATAAATACAAATTCTAAATTAGATTTGTGAGATGGAATTGCCTATTTCCATTTAGCAGCGACTCCCAAAAATGGCCACCGCTCCCTAAAATATGATGTAAAAAATATATACAAAATAAGTAGAAAAGATAATGGAGCTACATATTTTTTAATAAGATCATCTTTGAGAACTAACAACCACCAGAATAAAAACTAGACCAACCGGGAGAATCTAAAATTCCAAAAATGTAATGGCATGGGACCCCTATTGATTTTGTTATAATGTTTGAGTCACTTACATTTACATTTTAGTCATTTAGCAGACGCTCTTATCCAGAGCGACTTACAGTTAGTGAGTGCATACATTTTCATACTTCGATAGCATAAGAACACGGCATAAGCCATGGTAAAATGTGCAGAATTGTTAGAAATTTGCTCTAAATCTGCAAATTCTCTCCGCCCCATGGCAAAATGTGTAGAATTGCAGGCTATTTGTTTTAAAACTGCTATTTTTGTCCGTGTGGCCAAGAGGGCCTCTAAAATGTTCAGTCAGAGACTGCACCATTGGCCACGCCCACAACCAAGCCCCCCGACACTAACTTTGCCACCGCTGTTGAAAAGAATCCTAGGCTACATGTGCACAGCCACACACACCTCTCCATTGACGCTCTCTGTGGCCATGCAGAGTCTGTTGGGCCGTCTGCTGGCGCTGTCTACGCGTGGTGCCTCCATCCTGCAGCTACACAGAGGCAGCTCCTCCAGACGCTCCGTCTCTCCAGCATCACTGCCTTCTACACAGACATGCAGATAAGACATTCCCACATCGGTGTTAAATAGTACTATTCACTGTAGCATATAATCAGTGCTATTCACTGAGAACCATATCGTGGCTTTAGTTATGTACGCAAATCATGTGTTCACAAGACATCAATGGGAGATTTGTGTCAAAGTTTCAGGAAGCATACGTCAAGCTAGGATTTGACCCTGAGAGACCACAGATAAAGACATGCAGATTGTGTATTGTGTGTGAACACAATCGACCTACCGTGGTGAGGTGAGAGTGTTAGGCTGTCTGCTGCCGCGATGTCCAGGGAGCCCAAGGCAACCTCTGTGTACTCGCAGGACCCACCTAGAGCAGATGCTGCCGACACTGCTGGGAGTTACAACAGAAAATAATAATTGACCAGCAATAGGGCACTGTGGTGATAATGATAGTGCCGGTGATAAGACTATTTATACAAACTAATAAAGATCTCCCCGTCACTCACCTCTTCCTGCCTCTACTCCTTCGGCTCTCTCTCTCCCTTTTCCCCGCCCTGGGCGAGTCCATGGCGAATCGCTGCTCACTTTGTTCCTCTGGCCCAGCCTCTGTGGGCCCGACTCAGAGCTCTGTGGACAAAGAGGGTTTGGTTGACCGGCAGAGAAACATTGCTTTGCCCAAATAGATATTATGTTCCAGCAAGGGAATCTTACGAAACACATGTAGCATAAAACTGCCCGGTAAATGATTGTAGCTACCAACACAGGACGGGTTAAACTACTCACATGATCTGACATGTTACCAGACTCCTCTGCATCTCTTTCATGTAGCCTTCCCTCTATTCCACCATCTTCAGACTGCAAAAGGATAAATGGAAGGTATACATATCGAAAGAGAGCAGCAATAGTTTCCTTGTATCAATTCAAAATCGTGGCAATTCAGCATTAACCCTTCAACTGCTACACAAGGAAAAAATATCAGTACATTTTTTTCCCTACAAAATATGTATTTAGCCTCAGTATAGGCTAATAAATGAAAAAAATGTGTTTGCACAACTTACACTTTGATAGATAACGCGTCGCAAACCGGTTGAGTTGCCCAATTAGCGTAAACTAATTTTGTATAGGAATGTGCAAAGACTTTTTAAATAATGTCAAAAATGATACATGAATTTACATTATGTCTGCCTCTTTTACTTTTAATGGAAGATAGGCCCAGTGAAATGAGGACTGATATCAAATATTAATAAATACCATACATTTGTGTGTCAAAATATGAACATTAGAATGAATGTAAATTAATGCATTTACAGTTCAAATGCTTCAAATATCAGTAACATGGCATGTACTGAATGATATTGTGAAACATACCGAAGATAACAGGCAGACCGTGAATAATGATATGGATTTGAAATAATTGTTGTATTCGCACAGACAAAAAAAATCCCATAACAATATTTCTCCATTATCACTAGCTTTGACTTCATAGCATTCCTTTAAATGGGCAATTCAACCACCTGGTAGAGCATATTTTTCAAGAGTTCCTACAATTGTAAAACAACAGTAATTCAATCATGTTTTAGATGTCAACAACATTTTACAATGTTGTAATTTTCTATTTATACACAATTAGTAAAGAAAAATGTGTGATAAATGCGGTTCAATTTTGCTCATGTTCACTTCCTGGTTTTCAACCATCTTTGAATGCTCGTTTCAAAAAAGATGGGAGTCTGATAATGAAAACGACATTACCATTTTACTAAATGGCATTGATCGAGATGATCAAATATGCCAAACAAAATTCATGTTTAATTGTTGTCAAAATTCATATGAGCTGTCTGTTAAAGGGTTAATACAAATGGGTTGTGGCCACAATAATCATATTTATTCTGTGGAGAGCGTGTCAGTCACATTGATATTAGCCTCTGACCTTGCTGTCGGAGTAGGCTGCGTCCGTGTCGTCTCTTGCATAGGGGTTATAGAGAAGAAACTCGTCCTCATCTGCATCCTCCTCCAAGTCCTCCAGCCAACTGTCACGCCGTCTCGCCGCCTCGCGGAGTACACGATCTGCCTGAAATTCAAGTAACAAAAACAAAACGTTAGGTCAGGGTCACTACTTAATATCTCAACATGAGACCTATTATAAGCAACTATTATCTCCATGCTATAATAAAGCACTGACACACCCCTGCCCCGTCCTTACCTTCTGCTCTGTGCCTATTGAGCTCTCTGCCTTCTCAGGTGTACCATCATAACCTTGGCCCAACCTTCTCCTTTTTGCTGCTGCTGAGTAAAAGACAATTAACTTGACAGAATGCAAACTAAACAGTAAGTAATCTTACACACAAACATTAAAAGGAAAGATTTACCCATTTTGAATTTTATATTGTATTTGTGCATCTATGAGCGACGTTCTATAGGGTTCCCGGAGAAAAACACATCGTTCCGGCTATATTTCAGCCTGCTTGAATGGAGAATGGCTCAGATAGACATGAAATGACCCTGGGAATCGATAGAACATCACTCAGAGATGCACAAATACGATATAACATTCAAAATGTATGCAATATTTCAACACTGACCAGTATCACTCTCTGTCGTGAAGCTAGTCGTGGGGTCTGTGGGGTTGACTGGCACGATTGGCGACTCAATACACCTCACCTGAAAGGCAAAGACTCAATGGATCAGATGGTCAGGAAGTGGTTAATGTGACAGGAATAGAAAACTTCAGTGGTAAAATACTCATTTGTCAACATACTAACTCGAACATAAGATATGGCCTTTTTGATTGATATCACAGTATAAAATGGCTATACTAAAGAATATAGTGCTACTACCAGCCATCGTCTTAGGAGACTCACCTGTGTTGGGGGAGGTCTGTTCATGGTCTTGCGAGCACGGTGTATCTTTGCTGTCTGGCCAGTGACAGGAGGGGGAGAGGAGGATGAGGGATGGGGAGAGGAGGATGAGGGGTGGGGCGGGAGTGCTTTACTTCCAGGACCAAAAACACTCATCTTTGCTCTGCCAGAAGGAGAGGAAGTGGAGGAGAGTGAAGAGGACGTGGATGGAAGGGTCTTTGCTGCATGTCCTGTGAGGGGGCAATAAACGAAGGAATCATCGATTAAAACAGATTATGAAAACTAAGGAAGAGAGAGAGAAAACAGAGAGAACTGACAATAAGAAAGATGTAAACATTAAATCAATGTTAATGCAGTCTTGTAACCATGGATACTATATAGATCAATCTTTTACCTGCGAGGTTTCTGCCTGACACGGAAGAGGATGTTGTTGATAGTTGTTCGCTCTCCTCCCCGTTTTTCGAACCATCCCCCTGAATCTCCTGGAACAGTGACTGTGACAGCATTCCACCCATGGGCTCGGTCTCCATGGTAATAACTGCTGTGGCAGTACTTGTATCACCTAGGAAACATTCAACGCCTCTGCATCAACATGCACAGCACAACCCAAATGGGTTTCAATAAAAGCTGTGTATATATATATATATATATATATATATATATATATATATATATATATATTTGAGAATCTACAGTATACAAATATTTGTCTAAATATATACATTCTCAATTTACATCCATACATTCTCAATTTACATCCATACCTTCATCAGACTGGCTTGAGAGTCTCACTTTAGGATCAGTTTCCAATGCATCACTCTCAGACAACTCCTAAACATTGGGAAAATACCAGAGCAGCATATGAAGTAGCACTCATTGGAACTTATTTGATGTGCAACAGATGCAGATCACATTCCAAATCATATACTGAATTAATGAATACAACCGTAACAAGAGAGATTTTAACATCCATAATAGCTAGAAGTGTTATCCATCTGCTGCACAAACTCCAGAGGTAATGTTGCAATTGTAATGAGTGACACTGAAATACACGCACGTGTAGAAATTGAACTTTTCCTATTGTATGCACGACCCAACTAGATAGCTAGCTACTGAAGTTGAAGTTGGAAAATGTCAGACACTCAATCTCCACAAAATGCATTGCAGAACGTAGGAATATTTGCTTTAAATGTTTCATTGTGAACCTTTACCTAAATCTTCCAGAGCCATTTTCTACCTGTGTCTGGCTAGCTAGTTAGCTAATTGTTCATGGGGGCTGCCTTCATGCTAGCAGAATGCCAGAAACAAGACTTTGCAAGCAAAACAACTTGCTTGTAAATATTGCATTTCGGGTATGGATCTTCGATGTATTGAATAACTGGCTAATTTGCAATGAACATAGCCGTTGTAAATTAGCTAGCTAGAAAAATAAAGCTACCATTTCTTTACCTTGGTTATTTTCTCAGATGCCGACATGTTTCCAATGAAATTAGACATATTTGACGTGGTGCGCGTAAACGTGCATTCTCCGCCCCTTTGTTCGTTGGCCATTCTCTCGTTTCCGGGTTGGGACATCCGGTTTTGGGCAATTCAATATCCGGTCTAAGGCGGATAGGTTTTTCCGCAAGAGCCGGTGGGGGATTCGAAAAGACGGAGTGTGTACTGTACGTTCGTGGTGGCGAAGCGAGAGAGCGCTGAACTTTTCGGACGGGTTAGCCAAGAACAAGATAAGAAAATTGAGAGATAGGCAGCAATGCTAGTCCCCTAGTGCGAACCAGGAGTACGGTGGAAGTAACTTTAGACAAAGATTCGGTTGGAGAGCCTCGTAAATGGCGTCCCTTGAGAAAGCAAGAACAAGATGTATGTCAGGAGAAGTGCAGTATTATCATAAGGAGACGTATATTTGGAATACGGAGGAGGAATGGAGGGAAAAATAGAGGCAGGTGAGGTCTGAGAGAGGGAGCAAGATTGTGAACTTGAGTCGGTAAAAATGGCGGGAAAAGGGAGAAGGTTTGTTAAAGAAGAATGGTAGAAAATGTAAGCAGGTGTAGTGAAGTATTCGGAGCCCGACGGTCAGGATAAAGATGAGTCTGACAGTAGGAGTGAAGTTTTTGGAAAAAGTGGTCCCTTGCCTTTTGGCTGATCCATTTGTGGTTTCAGGGTGGGTAAAAAAATAAATTGGGTATAGTGGAATCGGTGAGGATAACCAGAATTGGTCTAGTGATAATTTGTGTTTCTGCTAGTCAGAGGGAGAAGGCGCTCGGAGTTAAACAAATGGGGGCAAGAAATGTGAATTGTTTTACTCTCAAGATAAGGGCGCCATTGAAAGGAGTGATTACTGGGATAGCAGTAAATGTAAAAGTTGAACAACTGAAGGGGAAGATTCCCAGTGTTTGTCATGCTCGTCGTTTGGCAGAAGGGCATGAGACAAAGGAATGTGTAGCATTGGGGAAATGAGTGGTATGTGTTAATTGTAGGGGTGCCCATGTCATGGGGCTGGGGATCAGAAATGTCCCGTGCGAGAGAGGCAGGTTGAGGTTTCCAGGGTAAGAGTAGTTGTCATATGCTGAGGCAGTGAAGAAAGTAGAGGAATATGGGTCAAGGGGGAGGAGTGGTGAGAGTAGTAGATATGTAACAGTACAGAGGGATGGGCCAACAAGTGATATGTTTCAGAACGATTGGATTTATAGCAATGGTTATTAATTGTACTGCAGGGATGGAACGTAAGTCGAAGAAAATTGAGGTTGTGGTGGCAGCTGCAGATAGGTATTTGTGTGTGCGAGACTTCACATCAGAGGAGTTACAGGGTGTGTTAAGTGGTGATGTCCCATCCTTTCAGGTTGAGGGCATGAGGTAGGAATACATATATTTAAATAGTGGAGTAGGGTGGTGTTCATTGTGTATATATATAATGTATTTATTTTATTTTTATTTTTTGTGAGTACTGTTAGATGGTGGGGTATTTTTTAATTTTCGAGCAAAATATAAGGGAGTTGTACTCCAGTCTAGTAGATGGCGGTAATGCAACATATTGGATGCCAACCGCAGTTAAACCTCATCGAAGAAGGCTTTTCGAAAGCTAACTAGCTTGATTCCTAACCTTGCCCTGGCATTGGCTACAACCTAACCAGACGACAGGTTTGATATGCTAACTAGTTAGCTTTCAATCCTTGCTAGTAGGTAACTTTAGCTAGCTTGTTTCAACTGATTTCGCAAGTTAACGTTAGCTAGTTAGCATTCGAGGGCCGACTGTTCTTAAACATTTGTGTAATGTTAGTGTAAAATAAATGAAGGATCCAACTATGTTGGTACTCGTGTCATGTCTGTCTACTGCAGTAGGCTACGGCTTGTCCATGTGCTAGTTAAAAGCAACAAACCCAGACGAGCTAAACATGAAAGCATCCAGCAGAGATCAGCTTCTTACTAGGTAACGTTAGCTATATTATAGATGAAGCATTATGGTTGTTTTGACATAACATTTGTTAGATTGTATATACGTTATATAAATAGTCTTAGCAAGCTCTTAGGCAAGCTCTTTTTTTTTGTTGATATAATATTTAGTTAGCTAGCTTTGCAGACGTAGGCGATGTAGATATTAAAAAAAAAAAATCCAGGCAATTTACTCCGATTTGAGAGCACTCCCGCAACACCCGCTGAATATGACTGGTGTCAGTAAACGTCGGCAAAAAAAAGTAATTTAATTGTTGCCAGCAGCACAGTTGGTCACTAACGCTCTAGATAACATGAAAACGACCTAACCAGTTCTGCTGGGCGAGTAACATGGTCAGAGTGAGGTGTTATCTCATGTGTCTGGAAGTAACTAGTAAGCTAGCCAACTTTTACAAGTTGGCTTGGGTGCTTGACTGCCGTTGTTTGGTCAGAACGCTTGGATCAACCTTACTCCTCGGCCAGAGCGTCCAGTTTACGCTGCGAGAGCCGAAACGCTCGGAATTTATTAACATAATCTGACATGTAACATTAGGCTCCTTTGTCGAAAATTGGGCTAGGGTCAAGGGTAGTAGCCTACTACTGACCCTTGACCCTAGCCCAATATTCAACTAAAGGAGCCTAATGTTACTCCTTAGTCCAAGGACCTTACATGTTCTAGGCCAATACAGAGTGTTACGAATTTGTGCTCCAGGAAGGGTGGCTTCTTAGCGTTCAGGGTATGAACGTCCCAAGGATTACAGATAAAAACAGATCCAAAGTCAGTGGCCTTGTTTGAGAGGATAAAAAAATTATAAACCGTAATGTATCATGGTTAAATTGTGACTGACTGATCTACCAATAATAATGAGTAGTTATTTATGATGCAAGGTTCTTTTTAGATCAGTCATTCACCTGCACTGTCGGTTGCAATTTTCGAACAAGCCCAGTATTACTGTACCAGAGAGGAAGAGGCAAAGCAAGAGGGATGACTTGGCCCAAAATCTGTTTTCTCCAGCAGGTGGCGTTTTTTTCACTCACCAAGAGAGGAGCTCTTGGATGGAGGTCAATGATTGTCGAATTTTGTTAATCAAAAATATAATTTGCTACGTATGTCTTATTTGATCGATTATACGTTTCGTAATGCTTACGTTGTTGCGAGTATACTGATATAAGTAGTACACGTGACATCCAGGCAACGTTGAGGAAAAAACACGTTATATCGGAGTAGTGTCAGTTATTAACGAGAGTATCTGCCCTCATTGGCTAGAATGGTCCCACCTGATCTTGCCTCCTCCCGGCAGCCATCCATTTTTGAAGACATTTCTTTCAATTGTTAGAGCGGCCAGTCGAGTATCTGGTCAATATAATGGGTCATCTGTGGTATTACAAAATAAATGACCATGAGGGGAGGGGAGAAATCACCACACCTATATCAATTTTTGTAGGCACCACTAGAGGAGCCATACAGTCATTGAGAGGAGCACACACACCTGTATACAACTTGTAAAATATTAGAAAACAATACATATTTTTTGTCATTCACTTATATGCATTATTCCAAAGAAATGTATGAACCAATGCAATGGTCGAAGAAACAGTCAATTGTTTTATTATACCTTTTTATCACTTAACTAATTATAATGTATGATGACCAAATCAAATCGTATTTTTCACATGCGCCGAATACAATGGGTGTAGACTTAACCATGAAATGCTTGCTTACGAGCCTTTCCCAACAGTGCACCGGGTCAAACTCGAGGTGTCATAAAAACCTTTTTTTAACCCCCCTCCCCAACGTAAAATATAATTTCACATGACCCTCCCCTTGTACTGTAAAATAAAATATGTGCACACCCTCCCCCCTCGTAAAATGAACTCACAAGTAATTATGACCACCATAAATAACTAACTGTAGCAACCCTGTGTTTATAAACGTGGATATCGACTTTACCACTTCAGCATGGTTTTGTGGCACAGTCGACATACTGTACGTTCAAGACACGCACCTGATGCGCCTGCACCCGCTTACATACACTGCATGATCAAAAGTATGTGGACACCTGCTCGTCGGACATCTCATTCCAAAGTCATGGGCATTAATATGGAGTTGGTCCCCCCGTTGCTGCTATAACAGCCTCCACTCTTGGAAGGTTTTCCACTAGACGTTAGTGATGTTGGGCGATTAGGCCTGACTCGCAGTCGGCGTTCCAATTTATCCCAAATGTGTTCGATGGTGTTGAGGTCAGTGAAGTTCTTCCACACTGATCTCGACAAACCATTTCTGAATGGACCTCGCTTTGTGTATGGGGGCATTGTCATGCTGAAACAGGAAAGATCCTTCCCCAAACTGTTGCCACAAAGTTGGAAGCATAGAATCGGCTAGAATGTTATTGTATGCTGTAGCGCATTGACGTCACCAGTCCCGGGCTTTAGCTCCGAATAATTTTGTCTCAGCCCGGAGTCTTTTGCCCTGATGGAATGATGTAAAATAAACTAGATTACACTGAATAAGCCAATCATGAGCCCTGCCCTGCCTTTTTAGTGCTGCCTAAAACCAGCATTTCTGTGTACGGTGGCACTTTAGGAGGCGGAGTCAAAGTGGTTTTCCAAAGTCATTTTTGATTCGTCCAAATAAATTATATTTCGGCGGGCGACTTTTTATTATCTGAGGGAGAGAGCGCAAAGATGAGAATGGTGGATGTAAACTTTGTTAGCGTGTTACTACTATAGTACATTCTGTTAGCCCATGATTATGTTATCGAACTCACAGTAAGCCAGACATTTCAACATGTTGACTCAAAACCTGCACTGACAGATAACGTTAAACTAGCTAACTAACAAACGGTAGGGACGACCCAGTCTAGCTAGCAGTGCTGCTAACATTAGCTACCTAGTACATTTTATGAGCAGGGTTTTGACAGTAATTGATTAGCTATCTAGACACTGAATCCAACTGCTGGAACTCCGTTCACCAACCGACAAGTATCACAAACTAATCAAGTACTGTCCAAATATGCTAAACATTGCTAATAAAGCTATCTAACGTAAGGCTAACGTTAGCTTTTGGTAACGTTAGCTTAATTAGCTAGCTACT